TATCAAATACAGGAACTGGGAAGGGAATAGTAGGTAGTTAGTTGTTCACTGAACAGTCCTACTGAAGTAGAAAAGCAAAGATCGATATTCTCAAATGTTTTATTTTAGATAAATTATTTAATTTCATTGAAACTGTACTTTTTCAAATAAGTTTCGACTATTTTATAGATTCATTTATTTAATTATGTCTACCTTCCAGCTGTAGAGAGTGAAATAAAATGAATAATAAATACGCTTTCTAACACACAAAGAATTTAAATGAAAAAGTGTGAATTAAAGTGCTGCTATTGTTAAATTTAAAATCACCTCAGCTCTAATATTGTTGCATCATGCTTTCTTTCAGGGAAATGTGGGCGCTTGACGTCACGCGAAAACCATATCTTCCATTTTTGGCTTTCTCCTTTGGCAAATTTATTATTTTTAAATAAAAAACCCATATGTATTTATCTTAAATCGAGGTCATATTCTAACACAATTTCTTTTGCCGCTCAACTCATTAGTACCACTCTTTGCCAAAAGAGGCCACTTCAAAATTCAAAAATTCAAAATTGGACTTACACAAACACGCCGCCGCCAAAAACCTGACGGCATTATCCGGGGGTTGACAATCGTCGAAAAAGGGCTTTGCGGCATACTGGGCGAAGGTGAGAGCCACAATAGCCTGCGTCGTAGGCCGAATAATCAGTAAAGCAATCCAGAGGCGCAAAAATGCGGCTAAAGGCCCGAAAGCGACGTAGATGTAGGCATAGTCCCCACCGGACCTGGTGATGGAAGTGCCCAATTCGGCGTAGCACAGGGCCCCCAACGTGGAAAAGATCCCGGAGAGGCACCACACGATGATAGAGACGCCCACAGACCTGGTGCTCAGGTAGACACCAGTAGGTGAAACGAAGATGCCGCTACCGATGATGGTGCCGATAATGAGCGCGACTCCATTCAACAATGTAATTTTACGCTTGAGTTTGACGGCGTCGTCGGCGTCGCCGATGTCCCCGTTGGGGCGCGAATCGGAGGTCATGGTGATGGGCTTAGTGGGGCATTTTTGGAGTTAATTAGGAAGGTGAGGCATGATGTTAAACACGTGGTCGATCACTACTCAACGCGGTTTGGGGTTCAATGCGTGATTCACGAGTTCACGTTTACGTTTATAGTATTTGTTGGCGCGTTACGAGAGACTTGCGCAGAGAGTGCGGCAGGTATTGTTCATAGAGTGACGCCGCCATGGACGGAGGTAGAAATGGGACACAGGGTTTCATTAAAAAATATTGATTTATAAAAAAAAATTCAAAATGTACCCTACGTTAGACCTGTTTGATTATTTTTTTTTATAAATTGATGAAATACGAAACGCTATCATTTCTAAGCATTTTTGCATTATTGAGATAGAAATTCTTTTAAATCGTCGTATATTTTACTATAAAAAATTAAAAGATTGTCGGTCTATAAACCGATAGGTCTTAGTTAGCTGTTTCAGTCATTGCGAGAAATTTAGCAGGTTTTTGAATCAAAAAACTTATTTAAAATTCATTGATGTATTTTGCCGAAACAAATTAAAAAATTGGCTCTTGGGTCTGAAATGAATGTATTTCAGACATTTTTTTCGAGCGATTTAACAGGTTTTTGAACCAAATTTCTATAATATACATTTTGCCAAAAAAATCTAACAATTTTTTTTTAGGTCTGAATTACGCTATTTCATCTATTTCCGAGCAACTTTGAACATTTTCGAGACACTAAAATGAACGTATTTTTCCGAAACGAATTTTGCCATATTATAGTCTACTTTCTGAAAAAAAGTAAAATTAAGCAATGGAGTATGTCTGGTACTGGGGAGTCTCTAAATTCAGCAATGAACCTAATTTCATCTTCTTTTCTATCTTATCAGATATTACATACTCTCTCGCATTTGATAAAATCAATATAAAGTATGTTGTAACACTATTATGATTTATTTTCAGTTAAAATCGACGAACAATGTTTGTTGAAAGCTTTCTTAATTCTATTAAAAAACTTTGTTGTTGTTCCTGTGGTCAACAATTAGATGAAGATTTGGAAGACAATTTCGTGATAACAGAGAATGTCAACGAAAGTGTTCTAGAACAAAGTCTTCCTGACCAAAACGTAATAAACTTTATACCAGTTACTACACAACAGCTAGTTGGACCTAGAAAACAGCGAGGGCCTCAAGAGCTAGAAGCAGAAACAAATAGGCAAGAACCAAAACCTCTACCAAAACCTCTAGTTGTTACTGAACAGCCATCTGTTCGTCGATTTAATTATTTCGTTGATAAAAATGTGGACGGAGATAATTGTAAAGTGAAACCAGTAGTTTTACCAACAAAACAATCAGTGGTTCAACAACAAAAAACAGAACACCGTCTGCAGCAAGATCAAAATAGTCTTGAGAATTTGAAATCCTGGGCAAAAACACTACAAACATGGGTTCCTGCAACAGAAACAGAAACCGTAGCAGCCAAGCAAGGTAGAGTTCTTCAAGAAATTCCACAAGTTCATCAGACAATAACTGTCCATGAGGAAGTTCCGGTATTTGTAATATTTAGGTGTTTCATCAAACTACTGATTTATTTTTAAGGAAAAACCGGCAGAATTTTATCGCAGAAAGGCTCTGAAACACTTGAATAAAAAGCGGCAATTATATCAAATTGCGCATCAGTGTAAAAGAAACGGGCAGCTTACTCTTGCTGACCAATACTTTAAAAGAGCCAAACAGCAAGCAAAACTTGCTGACAAGGCCAATAATCATGCTGCTGCTATGGTATTGAAAAAAAACTACGAAAATCATCCTTCAAGAGGTACCATCGATCTTCATCACCTTTATGTGAAAGAAGCTCTCGAAGCGTTAGACAGATTTCTGGATGACGAAATATTGTTTTTGAGGAACGACTCTTTAAAGAGAAGCTCACTAAGAGTAATAACAGGACGTGGAAAGCATAGTACTAATGGAATTCCTAAAATCAAGCCTGCAGTCATTGCACGACTTGAGGAAAGAAATTTGAAGTAAGTTTTTGCGTGTGTCGGGGAAACACAGGTTATATCTACTTGAGAAATTATCAAGATAACAGAGATAAAAGTGTAGCATCAGTTAACAAAGCATGTTTTCAGGTATAATGAGATCAATGCTGGATATTTAAGAGTTGTGATTTCCAAAAATTCTGATTTAGGCAACAATGCACCTAGAGCTCCACCGTTAAGATTATAATTTTTTTATAATAAATTGTCAATGTTTTTGTTGCTTACACTAAAAGTGCATTGTTAGAAACAATACAATATATAAAAAAACTTATCGATTTTATCATAATTATCTTATCGTATTGTATGTGTTGGAAAAAATAAGACCTTTGTTCGACTTTTTTGTTCATTGTTTATTTAGTGCCTTTTGGAGTGTGATTGAAAAGTCTTCTTTTCTTTACTTGAAAAGTGTAGAAATGTGTGACGCCTCAGAAAAAGGACTGGCGATGTTTGGTGAAGTAAAGAGTGATTACAGACAAAAGAGTTACATTCGCCGCTTTTTCGATTACATAATAAATAGTTTTAAACAAATTTTTGGAAAAGGAAATCAGCAATTAGCAACCATACGCAATGAAGGATTTTTTAAAATAAAAATAGGAGAAGAAATGATCACTCAACTCTCTGAGATGTTTTTGGATTCCAATTTCATTATCCCTTCTGGATTTGTAACAGTTGTGGAAATTCCTGTTTCAA